AGTATTCCAAAATAATCTAGTGAAAGGTCATGTTTCAGTTGTTACCACCTTGAACTGGCAGGAGAGCACACTGCTTTGAATTGATGCTGACATCAAGGGTGAGGTCCTTGCACATCTCCCCTGCTGGTGGGAAAATCTCAAAGGGGATCATCCTTGTCTCTGCCATCCAAATAAGGTGCTGAATTTAAATCAGACTGCAGGCAGCCCAAGGGTTTATGTGCCTGACTAGCAGTGATTCACTTGCAAAAGAATCAACTTCTCTATGCCAAAAATAAAACAATAGGAAGAGCAAGGGGCAACTATAGCAGTAAAATATTTGTATTTCTTGTAAAAGAAATCGTGGGTCCTTGGCATTCTAATGCTGTGATTTTTATTTTTTTTTAAACTGTAGTAGTTTTGTAATGTGAAAATCTACAACAGATGTCATGTAACATCCTGATGAAGTCAAAATATTACTCAGGCCCTGTAGGCACTCAGTACTCATTTCAGAAGCAAAGAAAATTGTATTTCTGATTATGGCTAAGTTTGGGGAACACTGTGGAAGAATCACTGGCTTCGGTGTCAAAAAATAGTAGGAGTAGATAGCTATAAAAGGCTTTCTCATGCTCTGCAGTTCTTTCTTTTCAAAAACCATTGTGCAGTGCTTAAAAATGGGACGGTTGTAAACAGCAAAACGACATGCTTATTAGTAGCAGCTTAATTTGGTGAGGCTGAAATGTGATTTTTTAAAAATTTTTTTTCCCACCCACCATATTGCTTAAGTATCTAATCAAGTAAATAGCTGCAGAAGGCAAAGTACAGGCTTGTGAGCCTACTGTTTAGCAAAGGGAAACTAGTGGTTTCCATAGGATGATCGCCGTGTCTGTGACATTCTCTTACTGAATTTTTTTGTCTATCCTGGCTATGGAAGCTAAAAAATAGGCTCTGCTTCAAATTTTGGATGTGTGGTAGCTAATTACGGTACACATAATAAAGAAGTGTCATTAGTTATAAAATATGTTTACTCTAAGGTTTCATGGGTAGGGAGATGGAGAGTCCAAGCTGCAGAGGGCTGCTGCCAACTGGATGGCTCAGGCTGTGATTTTGTCAATTACTGTGTTTTCTATTTATGTACCTACAAAGCAGAGCCGATAAAATTTGTCTGTGTCCTAATTGCCTTGAGCTTTTAGCAAATATTTATGGACTACGTGCAGACTTTCAGGAGATGAGTAATTAAATTTCTACATCTTGTTAAATGTGTTTTGTAGAATTTTATCTCTTGCTTTAAACAGCTTCCTCTTTCTGTCTTGAAAGCACTTCCAGTAGAATTGTTGAAAATTAGAACAAATATTTTTATTCTAATAGTAGCACATTAACCTCATGTTAAGCTTTGCTCCATCTTCCTCACTTCAGCTTATCCTCATGTTCTGTTCCATAACACCTCTTGACATCTTAATATGAACCACAGATACTAAAGATTATTAAATTGCTCTCAGGTAAATGGAAGCTTTGCCATTGGTTCCTCTGGAAATAGGATCAGGACCTGGATGGATGCATGTAATGTCTTGTAAGACATGCTAATACACTGTCTGCCTGAACAAACAGGACTCTAAGCACTTCTGAAGCTTGTCCTCTAGTTCTCTGCAACGTGCATGCTACTACTTGATCAAATGGTAATTAAAACTGTGCAGTACGTTACAATGATCTTCACGTTTACTTGCTGGAAACAAAACCAGCAACTCTGCAACAGGATTGACCAAAAGACTCTCAGTCACAGGTGCTAAATCACACCCGAGTATAAATGAAAATGCATTAAATCCACATGAGCACCCAATGAATTCACAATGAGCTGGTGCTGTCATCATAATAGACTAATGCCAGAAAAGAGCTTACAGAAGTGTCCAGAGCTCTGTGTTTTTAGGGTCTACAAGCACAATAAATATGATTTTGATTCAAATTCTACTTAAGCTTTGTCACAACAGAGGTGACGAAAAATTTAAGTCTAAGACCTTGTCAAGCTCTTGGTTTTGTGGAGTACTATATGTAACTCTCAGATATTCCTGATTACATGTTAAAACTACCCTTCTATCAGCTCAGAAATTCCTTTAATCAGGGATAGGATTTTCAAAGGAAAAGTCAGTCACGTACAGTCTCAGGATTTTATTTATCTGATTGTTGTCCCATCAGCAAGTACTGCAGTCTTAAAAGCATGGAGCTATGCATGGGGTTTTTTTGTGTGCCCAGTACCTAAGTCCTGGGCTCCAGTGACTTGAAAAATCATCTCTCTTTGACAGAAGCAGCTCAGCAGTCACCTGAAAGTACTTGGTGGGTTGTGGCAGTGTCTTAACTAGTTTGAGATCCTGTGAATTGTAAGATGTATGTCATCAGTACCACAGCATCCCCACCTTCAGATTTAGCAACAGCGTAATCAGCTGCTGAATTCAGAAGAATAAGTAAATGGAGCTCTGATTTACATTCTTAGGTGTAGAGATGGCCTACTGCCCTGTCAGTGACCTACTAACATTCCTCCAAGACACTTCAAAGTAGACTAATAGCAAAGAATAAAAACGGAGCTGACAAGATCAGAAGCTTGTCCCAGACTTGTTTTTCAATAAAGCCAGGATACATGTTCATTCTGTTTCATCCTGTACCTCCAATTTACATTAAGACAACCAAAATGATGCACTTTACATGAAAGCAAGCTCAGAGGACCCATCCCCAACAGACCACATGCTTTTAACTTTACTAAATAAGCAGAGAAGGATGCAAAACTGCAACCCATAGCATCAAGTCCTGCCTGTCACAAATAGACCAACTCCATTAGTAGAAAACACGGTTGTGTTTGTCTATTCTAGTTTGAATCCACCAGATTACTTTAAATCAGCTTAAACTTGCTTGTTTTGATCCCTCAAAGGCCAGCCACCACACGTCTAATACATGGGCTCTATTTCCAGCCAGGTTCATAGTGCAGGCATCTTTAGTAGTATGAACAGCAGTACAAAGAAAAAGCAAATAAATGCCTCTGTCCAGTGAGTGGTGACCTTGCTAAATGACAGCAGGTATCCTGAGCATCTGGTGTAGGCAGTGCTGGAGCCTTTTCTTAGGACAGTATCAGAGGAACACGCATAAGCTCTGGGGGATTATCTTGCAAGGATCAGTGCAAGGACGTTTCAATGAGAAAATGAATAATTCTTTACTCTGATTATGATGATTAATTCTGTTATGTCAGCAGCCGTTGGCACAGCCAGTGACAGCAGCAGATTTCATATAGGAAAAACCTAATTCAAGAGCCAAGAACCTCAAAGGGGAATTCTGTGCAGTTAAGTAATAATATTAATAAATGACACGCGAGCAGCTATAATTTTATGATTATGCAGAAATGCACGTGCTTTCCTCAATGTTATATAAGACTTTGTACTGGTGTATTAATTGTTTTGTATTTGAAACATCAGTCAAGATAAGACTGGCACTGTTGCTCGAATTGACCAGCCACAGATGGAGACAACTGTGGAAGTTTCTGGACCACAAGAAGTTGAGCAGAAATCCTATCACAGGTGCCAATTTCACAAATAAGTAATCACTGTTGAACTGGCAGGCATCCTGCTTCCCTCACTTCGAGTTTGGTTATGCAAAAGACGAATCAAGACATCTATCAGGTACATAATTTAAGATGGGTAGATCTTTGCTAGCATCTAAAACTGGATGGCCCTAGATTTCAATTATTGATGGGGATTTGGCTTCCAGACAGTGCGTTAACTGTCTCCCTCTCCAGTTTTGAAGGCAAGCACTTGACATGCACTGATTGGGTCATGTCTCTCTCTCTCCAGTACAGTTTCTTCCCTCAGCTGCCATAACCAAGTTGTGCTCATTGTCAGTTTGTTTTTGTCCTGGATGCATTCCAGCTCATGTCTCTTATGCAGTTGGTATGGGCAGCATTTAGGAGGGAAGCATCAAGGCCACGTTCCTCAATCATGTTTTGTTAGGAAATGCTTATTTGGCAATCCTAACACAGTTAAAAATTATTCTTAGTAGGGTATGCTCTGCCAACACATGACCTTTAGCTGTTAAGAAACAGTAGAGAAGGCATCACAAAAGCATGTAATTCTGTAATCAGTTCAGATATTTGACAGATAACAAGAAAGAGCTCTCTTGCATTTAAGCATGGTATTTAGAAAGCTGGAGTAATGCTTTAGGTGGCTGTCCTTGTATCTTCTCTGTCTGCTGTTCAAGCTGCTGTCCTCTCAACATTCCCCTACTGGAAGAAACTGAATACTATCATTTAGATGTGTAGATTGGTAATTAACATGTTGACTTTCAAAATCAGAATCACTGCAAACACTTCCACAGGTGTCACCTCCTCAGCTCAGACGTGCTGATCACATTTGCAAAGAATAGTGTAGCTGAAGCCAGTATTTTGAGCCCTGCTGTGTTTTCTCACCTTATCAATTCATATACTGGGGTTGTTTCCTATCAAATTTTTTGTATTTCTATGTATCATATGCAAGGAAAAGAGCTGAAAGCTAGGTAACAGAAGAAACCAGTCTTCATTTGAGCTAATGAGAAATTGTCTTACAGATTTTAGTGGCAGAAAGGATACACCAACATTTTTATTGCAATACCATTTTTTATTACCTGGGGTGCTCTTGTAATAACTGCATATATCCCCACTGATTAATATCTAATACTAAAAATGCTGGAAAGGTAATGTTCAAGTACACAGAGAACTACATTGATCCGCCTTACCTACACAAACAAGGAAGTTATTTTACTGTCAATTTATACTTTGTATACAACCCACTTTCCAACTATTCAAGGGAGATCAATACTTATGACAATTCATTAGAGAACAAAGTTGACTTTTATTGTGCAGACCAAAAAAAAAATGCAGTCACTGACCCACCACTACATTAATTTTATGAAATCAGTTCACAAAACTATTGTAAAAAATAACTTAATTTCTGATGAAGAAATGGAAACAAGTTGTACAGCCCTCCGGCATTCCTGTATTGATAGGGTAAAATGGCACTGAATCATTATACTCAGTAACTCAAAGACAAAACCACTTTGGTTGCTTAGGGGAATAAAAACACTCCTGATTTCTCCCCCAGTCCCACAGCCAATATTGGTTTATACCCCCCAAAAAAATAAAAATCACTTGGAGTTACCGCAGAAGTTACACACTCTTTACTCTCTAACTTTGATATGTAAGTACCTGATAGAGCTACCCTACTGGCATGTACACAACTCAAGGGAAGCACTGCCTGGCTCCTTCCAAGTGGGTTTAGCTTGCCAGCATACCAAGCTTAATCTTCAGGTTCCTCATAATGTGCATACCCACTAGCATAGGTCCTTCCTAAATTTAAATTGCTGAATACATCTGTGGTCTCTGTATCAGAATCCTTCCCTCCCTCATCATTTTCATCTTCATCGTCATCTTCTGCTTCATATTCATCATATTCATCGTCACGATCACCTGCATCTCCGGCCTTGCTGGAGGAGAGGTTCTTCCAGTAGGCATCGTAACCAGAAGCTCCATCTGCATCTTCACCTCCAGTCTGTCGGCCAAACTTCAAAGAACGTGCTGCAGACAGAGGAAAATCATGTTCTCACCCCTCAACAGCAATTTGAGCAGAGCATCTGACATTTCTTTTCCATCCTTTTTCAGTACTCAAAGAGCATATAATGTTAGACAGCCTTTTTCTAAACATGACATTTTCGGATTTAATCCTTACTCTTGACAGAACCTTTCTGCTACACATAGTCTGTCCCCCTGCAGCCAAGTCTGTATAAACAATAACCGTCCCCAGAGTATGACTTCTGTTTTAGAATAAACCTTTGGTATTCTAGCCAAGAAAACCTGTAATTGGATGTGCTTTGCAGACACAATACATAGTGTGATTTATTCAAGAATGGTTGAGGTATATTGTATGTGTGTCATTGAACTGCATTTTGAAATTCATTAGCCAGCTTTCTGTAGATGAAATAAAGACTTAAGTGGTGATTTTTTTTCACCTTTTCCATAACTAAAAACTCAAATCAAACAAAAGCTTTCACTGTATTGGAGTAAATTAATGATTAAGAATGAGAGACTGCTCAATTCTAGAACTCAAGAAACACGTTCTTCCCCAAATTAATGCTGTAAAGCTTTGCAAGACAACTGAAAGTAATCAGACTTTACTCAAGTGTTCCCATGCAGAAAAGTAGTCACCAATGGTACTTGTGTAGCTTGTTAGCTAGAGAAGCAGGCTTACTTGACATGCTCAGATCCTTTGTCTGCTGAGTTTCATGGCCGCATTTAGGGCAGGGAGGCTCTTTTCCTTTTTCCTGCTTGAAAACCTTACTTCGTACGTGATCGTCACAAAAACAAGCCTGTCGGGTAAAAGGAGAATAAAAAGGCTAAATGTTTTAATCATAGAAGCATACTCTTCAGCAAGAAGCCTAGAAAGAAGTGTCTAACAGCAGCACGATTTTCTGGCTGGGATTAAAATTTAATGAGCTCTATCTGCCGTGGAGCTGAAGTCTGTGCACAGAGCAACCACTTCTGTGTTGAATGTAGTTTCATGGCTTCCTGGGGAAGAGGCTGGATAAAAGTGCTGATAAACAAGTAGAGAAGTAATGTACTGGAGGACTGGATTATAGTGCTGCCCACAAGGAGCCTGGCAAACTTTGGTTTACACTGACAAGATTAAATAAAATACTATCAGAGATGTATGCCAGAACATAACCATGCAGTGACCTGAGGGCGAGAATTAGAGATTGAAATTTCACATGTGGAGCACCATGGTGCCAGTGAAGATATCTGGAGAAAGGAACAATTTTGGAATATGAAATTGATGCCATGGGAGTCTGCAGGGAAACATATGGAGGGTAAGAAGAGTAAGAGTAGGCAATGAACCAGCACCTGCAGAAATCTGGGCAATGCTGATGATGAAGCAGGTGGAACTTTATATACAAAATTACTTCTGAGTGTGTAAAAGCCTGACATCAACAAATTACCCTGTGCATGTGTATAACTGGATTAGCTATGGAGGTGATTTCTATTAGCTGCAATGTTTTCTGGTCAGATAATCACTTGACTGTTTTTTAAAAAAACCCTACTTTTTAAATTGTCTTAGTTCTACACTGGATCAAAATATATTCCGAAGCCTTAGATTCTGTCAAGACCAAGGATTTGTTTTGCTTTCCCTTTAAAAAAAAAAAAAAAAAAAAAAGACCCAAACAGGTATAGACCCAGTTTAAACACAGAGGTCTGGACAAAGTGAAGATCACCTCACTTGGCATGAGGATGCGTAACACTGGCTTATGGTTAACAAGCAGATAAAAGCCTTTTTGTCCCCCTTAAATCTGCATGCAGGCTTCAGAAATTAGTATCAAAATTATGAATATTAATAAAGCAGAGGAAAACATGACAAGGCTTGGTAGCAGCCTTGGAGGCTAAGGAGAAGTAGTCTAAAATCATAGCTCCTTGCAACTGGTCTTTACCTTACAACGCAGGCATGAATGCTGCCCAAGCCTGTTACAGGAAACACCTGTTGGAGAAAATCAATATATAAAATTCAGTACTTGGAAACTGCAGACCTGTGATCTTTTTAGGACCTTGTAGAAGTACGTAATAATGTAATTGAGGCGTTTATTTTTAATTCCCTAACACAACTGCACTTTGACACAAATCAGTCATTTTACTATACCATTCTATTTTACTAATTTTTTTTTCAAGTCCAAGCTTCATTGCACTAATGTAATTTGATACAAAAAGTAGAAGTTGAAGGGGGAGGGGGGGAAGTTTAACTATTTCTTGAGTTTCCTAACTTTTAAAAACAGGAGTTTTGGAACCATATTGGTATTAAGTGATCGACTTGCTTTTCCTTTTCTCTCAATGTCAAAAGAAGGAGCCCTAGCATTTTACAGTCACTTTAAACAATGCCACGGCAGCCTGTAGTACCTTTATCTTATTTAAACGGGATGTGAAAACACTGAAAGCTTGTAAACTTCCAGACCTAGAACAGTCGTTTTGTTCTGTATTTTCTATCATGTCTTCTGGAAATATACTTTATTGCATGAACTTTGTATGAAAAATCTACCTAACTGTGTTAAAGAATTGTAGGTGGCACATGAGCACTGAATCAGTGCTCAAAATATAACTTGTCTCGAAGCTTCAAACTGGTTTCTTAACTCCACTAGAGGGAGTACAGTAAAGGCAGCCACACAGGAACTGGCAGCAACACCGAGCTGGGTGAAGTTACTCCTCCAGAAGCAGCAATATGTAATTTACCACTCTGCAAGTAGAGCCTTTCTGCCTTGCCCTACCCCTGTAACAACAAAGTCTTTGAATCTGAAGTAATAAATATTATGAGTTCTTCCACATGAGCAGGACAGCCACAGGATTTAGCGCTCTGTCATGTGTTTAAAGATGGAATTAGAAATGCTAATGCATATAAATTCAAAAATTTCTGGAGTATCTGCACTTTAAAAAATTTCTCTCAGATAGTGGTAGAAAGTAACAGTACCTTTTTCACAGCTAGAATGGGATTTAGACTACAATTGCATGACTGCATTTAAAGGTCATGTATTCTGTAAAAGTTCAGGTTTTATAATCTTGTTACCACACAGTGACAAAAATCCTGCCTCTCTACCAAGCCTGCACTGTGCCACAAAACATCGAACATGGTGAAAACCCTCAAAAAGCAATTTCTCTATTCAGGGTGTGACATCACATCTGTGAATTAAAAGCTTCCAACAATTACTGAAAAAACATTCTTGTGGAACAGCTGTTGCTGCTTCAATATTGCTACACAGGAAAACGTTCTGGCAGTGTACATCAAGGGAAGCTAATCAAGGCTTAGAAAATAGCTGGCTGGGATGAGAGATGAAAAGGAGATAGATTTCTAAAGCCACAGACTATAACACTGAAATCAACAAATATTCTGAATTGGGAGAAATCAGTTAAGATAAGAGATTAGTCAGTTCTGAAGTCTTATACGTGATAAAGAGCCCCTTGAATTTCTATAATGACTGAAAATGTTGTAATAGTCAAAATGCATGCATGCAAGTTTTGGAAGGGACAAATGCTTGTCTCGTGACAGAAACCGAACAGTAGTTAATGGTGGGTAGAAAAGAAATACTACAAAAGATAAGTCATTTCAAACATGCATAGTCTTGGTTTGTTGGGGTGTTTTTAACTTTCCTTGAAATTTCCCTGTGTCAGCCAGAGATGAGTGGTGGACTAGGAAAGTCCATGATGCATGGGCATCATGTCCTCTTACAAAAAACAGTTTCAGTTTTGTCCACACAATCAAAGTTCTAGAGGACATAAAGTCTTCAGCTACCTGTTCTTTCCTCAGTAAAAGTGGACATGTATCAACAGTCACTACGCGTCCACAGTCCAGTGGTCAGTGAACACAGTAACACCGATTTCATGCTCTGGATGAACACTATTTTTATTACTTCCTTCCACGCTTGCCCTGTCACACTGAATCAGACAATGACTGCTTCCTGAGTTATGGCCCTCCTCAGGGCTTGCTGCTTTTTCAAACTACCCCTTCACCAAAATACAGGCCATCCACAGCAATCTAGGAAAAGTTTAGCCAGACTAACACAGGTGCTATTATTTAGGACAGCTGTTTTTCATGAGGAACAGGTAACTAGAAATAGCTCGTCATACAGTCAGAGGACTGGAAGAGAGCTCCTTCTTGCCTGCAGAGTTTTGTGAAGTAAAAAAGCAGCATCAGCAGTTTTGCTGCAGTCCTGGCCACTGCCACACTGAGAGACTCCTGGCTCCTGCAAAGGCCACTTTCCAGGGGAGGCCTGTAAAAGCCAGGAAGGGAAACAACTGCCATGTATAATCGGGCATGGAGGAAGATCAGAGACAAAAGCTCTAGTCTAGATAACTGGATATCAATCAAGAGCAAGCACTTATGAGACAGGCCCTTTCCTCCAGTGGTGGTAAAAGCTATTAGGAAAAAGGTGATGGAGAGTATTCTGGAGCACAGAGGAAGCAACTGGAGAATCTGCTTAGCTGTGGTGAAAAGGAATATGAATAAGTAACTTACATTTAAATGTCTCTGCTTCCAGAACTTGGCAGCTGGCTTGATGTTCAAACTGATCATCTTCACAGAGGAAATTGTGACAAAAGGAGCAGGCGAATATTCTGCCTCCTAAAAGATTTATCAGGGCATAATAATCAGCAACGGGTGTAGGCATCAAGTTCTGCCCTGCAAATGATCTCGGCAGTAGTTTTGACTGAAGACCAGTTCTCCCTTCTGTCACAAATGCTTCAACAAAGTCCTACATTAGACACTGCCATCTATTCTTACACTGACAAATACCATATATTCTACAATACAAGACAGTATAAGTATCATCAAGTATTATTTCTAGTCCTTTTCTTAATTTTAATTTGACTATGGCATTAAATATTGTTCTTAGATCACATTCTCTCTCACCCCCTTTCCCTCTGGATGCACACTTGAAATAAACACTTTAAAGGATTCCACAAATGAAGAGCAGTATGGTTTGCTAAGCAATCGGGAATCCAGATACCTGTACTAGAACAGATGAATGGCGTGGGAATGGTAGAAAATTTTGTGTTGACAATCTGATGCAGTGCTTAATTATGTGAAGCACTCAGCTGATAGGGCAGTTAATACTTTAGATTAAATAACCATCCCCAAATTGAGCACTGTATGCTCTTGAGCAGGTCATTTACATTCCCTACTGCATAAAGTCTATTTTTAAAAAGGGGAGAATGCCTTGCTTTGACCATATTGCAAGGACTAATCAGTGAAGATTAAAAATGCTATTTTAAAATACAAGTACACTAATGTAAGCAATGGGAGAAGTATTATTTAGATTTTCTTACTTTAAGTGTGAGCAACTTACCGTGGTCCCAGACACTTCTTTCACACTCAATACATTCTGCATCCGCAAGAGGGCAGATACATGCGTGTGTGCTGAGACACTTCCTCCCATGACACACCCAAGCTTCACAGAAATCACAGATTGCACCCTGCAATTACAGAAAGATAACATCTTGGGGCTTCTGCAATACCTAGAGAGAGAGATTCTTACTCCATAACCCTGAAAGTATCCAAGTATTCATTCTCTCAGTGGGTTCATTGAGTGAGAGAGTATGAACTGCATCTGTATTCCTATCAAGCTGCTCCACAGTTCATCTTGTTCATTTGATAGTCATTTCTGCAGGATTAAATATAATGCAAAATAGCTTGGTTTTCTCTTTTTCTGTTTTTTACATTTCCTATCTTAAATCGTATGCATGAAAATTGTGTCCTCCAGCTGAAACCTGAGATCCATAAATGATAACAATGTTCTGGCAAAAACGCAATTTCAGAAAAGACCTGAAAAATGCAACTAGCTTCTTACAGCTGAGATCACTCACCCAGATTTTAAACTATGCTATATTCGAACAGAAGCTCCACAGAGAGCATAGATCAAATAACTCATTAGAAATGTTAAGACACTAAATTTCATTTTGATTAAACGACAAGATCTACACATCAACTATCCCTTAATTGTAGCATTTAAGAAGCCTTCTCAGCCTATATGTAACAAACTACCACATGCATTACATGCACACAAAACTAAGAAAAAAATGGTGAATCCAAACTAATTGTTGATGAAAATGTTGCATCACTGAACACATGGAATGAGTTTAGGAACATCCGACTGGGAACACCAGCTGTGTTACTGAGAAAAGCTGACTGCCAACTGGAGGCAGAAACAGGACAGAGGTCTAGTCCATACATTTGAGCCAGAGGCTATGACATGTCATACCTTGCTTTTCAGAATGGAGCAACTTGCCCTTCTAAGAACAAAAATTCAAAGGCCAGAAGCTTTGACCATCTCTGCTAAATACCCAAATTATTATTTTTTTTTAAATAAAATTCCCCCAATTCCATGGAACAGATTCCTCTCTCTGATGCTGATGGTCTCTGCAATACTGAGAATACAGCAACAAAAGTCCACTGGTTTCTACAGAATGATCCTAGATTTTAACTGAGACTGGTAATTGGCTATGGGGCATGTAAGCTCCAGTGCTGTTAATGCACGTGCTTAGAGCCTGAACCATCACAGATCTGTTAGCATCCAGGACACGTGTCAAAATTTGCAGGGGTTGAATCTAAAAATGCAAAATTTGGGTTTCCAGTATAAGGGGAAAATCAGTTTGTGATGGTAAGATGAGAAAAAAAAAAAGTTGGTATGGTACATGCTATCATTCCATATATGTTTTATCTTTTTTTTCGGGAAGATTTGCATAGAATAACCTCACAGTGCAAAAAAGGCTGTAATTTTGTATACATACCACCATTGCTAGACCAGTACTGTACACACCAGCATGTTTTATAACACAATCTGAAGACTTCATCATGCATTTGGTTTTTCCTATTAAAAAAAAAAAAAGGCAAGTAAACAGAAGAAAACTATATATAAATAAGAAAAAAATAGAATGAACGTTCATATAAAATAAGTACTTCAACTAAATGCGTGTGCTTGATTGTAAATCCAGGTAAAAATAATACAAACGTCTGCAACCTGCAACTCACCCTCACATCTCCCTTAGATCAAATTAAGTATTGTCTTTTTTCAGCCAAAATCTCTTGTCCCAGTACTAAGGCAATGTGTTGTCTTGCTCTGTTTTGAAGCATTGGCAAAAATTTCAAATATCAGAACAGACTGAAGAACAATATTAAGGTAAAAGTCAAGCAATGACATCTTAAAAAGTTGCATTTTAAACTGCTGCTAGTTCTGTCCCACCATAAAAGCAGCATGTGCTCTGTGTAAGGCTGAGGCCATCTGAAAAAAAAACCAACAAGGAATCATAGAATGGTTTGGTTTGGAAGTGACCTTAAAGATCATCTAGTTCCAAATGCCCTGCCATGGGCAGGGACACCTTCCACTAGACCAGGTTGCTCAAAACCTCATACAACCTGGCCTTGAACACTTTCGGGGAGCACCTGATGATTTAATTATTTAGAGGTACTTGAATACTTGGGGGTTTGGTGGTTGTTGTTGGGTTTTTTTATCTTTTAAAACCATGTAAGAGATTACTTCCTAGACAAAATAATTCCCTTTAAATGTAGGGGATGAGTGGGAGAAAAAGACACAGTCCGCACTTAAAAGTTATTCTGACACAAGCAAGCAGTTAGGGTGACAAATTTCCCCTACTCTTTGCCTCTGACATAAATAGCTCTACCAGAAAGATTCACACTCTGTATGCAGTTATCCAAGAAAAAAAATAAAATCTTGTAGTTAGCCAAGGCCACTGCAATGGTGTTTTATCACTGATATAAGCTGCCCTGCCACAGACCCCTTTGGTGTCTCTGTTATCGGCTGCTTAGAGAAACCAGAGTTTTGTATTAAATGACACTTGTAGGGTGAGGAAGGACCAGTGGTGGGCTGAGCTGGGCAATGTAAGGTGGTGGGGGTATTACTGTGTCTGGAGCACTGCAGTACAGCTACTTTGCTCTCATCCCTCGGGGACTTCTCTAAGAAAAATGCTGTTGGTTTACAAGGGCTGTGTCCAAATAGCTCTAATGGTCTTTGTCTTGGAAAACCATGGGACTCAATATAATTTTGTGGTTGTTATTAGGAATGCTCTTCCTCCAGAAACATACTGCTGATTAAGAGAAATTCAACACACAGGAGTCAATTTCAGATGTATAATATACTGTAAGACAGACAGCATGTTTTTAGTACTTCACTGCATGATGACAGAAGGAAAACTTATGAAGGATGACACACTGCCATTGCACACTAACAGCCTGGCTTCCAGAAATGCTCAGTATCTGCAGGTCCCAACAAAGGCACTTGGAAGCTGCACATGTCAGGAGCTCTGAGAGTCAAACTACAAAACAGTCAAATTGCTTAATGACAAACCAAAATTCTGCAAGGATGTGTTGAAACTAAAACAAGAAAATTCACCTCAAAGTATGAAATGATTATCAATATCCCCTGCAAGCAAGCAGTTATTTAAAAAAAAAAAAAAAAAAAAGGGCATTTTAGCCTGATTCAGAGCTGAGATCTGTCACTAGGAGTCCTTCTCTTCTGATTTCAAAGCGTCAACCCTCTAGCACGTATAAATAACATGAGCAGTATATTACATTACAAAACCACGCAAGGTGAACAATGTACTGTTGCTTTAACTGATATTAAACTGATCAGAAATTATATCTTCCCTAAAAAGCAGCATTTATTGGCTCCTTGCTGGCAGTCAGAGCCTTTTTAACTTTGCTGCTGATATGAAACAATGCTCCACACAGTCAGTCTAAGGAAATGGTCAGTCAGATGTTCTCAATCCTAAAAGGCAGTGAGACAAATTCTTCCAAAGGTCAAACACTGAAGACAAGCCCATGACTCAGACATGCACACCTCTGGGGGTCAGAGGCATACACATTAGTGCATGATCAAGCAGATCTCAAGGAGGATATTCACAGCACATTTAAAAGAACCTGCTCCAAAAATCAGGAAGGTAGTTAAGACAAAGGTACTGTAACTGCTGAGAGTTTAACACCACAGCTGGGACTGAGGGTAGCATGTTCTCATTCATTATTTCTACTTACCACACTGTGCACAAATGGGTAATTTCTGAACAGAGTTACAGAAGTAGCAAAAAGCTCTATTCTTCTGTCGTCTGGAGGGGTTAAGCAAAAAAAAAAAAAGCATTAAAGAGAGACCTGTAAAATGTGTGAAACCAATTAATACTAAACTACTGGATTTAGAAGGGGAAAAATACTTACCTTTGGCACTTATCGCATTCCTAAAGAAAAGAAATTAAATAGTGGTAATTATTTTTATTCTAGGTAAAATATATAAAATTTGCAGACCCCACAGCAACTCTGAATTAAGTTCTGATTAGGAACCAAACTTTTTATTCAAGTATTATACCTCTCAAACAAACATGACCTTAAATATAGAGGAAGGATGGTAGGAAGAATGACATCCTAGTGGCATTAAATAGAGCCACTGGTTTTACATAAATTAAAATCAAGTATTGTAATATAAAATACTTTAGGTTACTTTACCATTGAAGCATTACAAGGATGTTTGGCTAAATCTATGTTGGCTCTTGAAGCCCTAATCTGCTTTTCACGTTCACGACGGTTCTCAGCTTTCTTGCGAGCACCAGTCTTCTTTTTAGGCATTTTTCACTATCTGGAGGGGGGGCAGAAAAAATAGGTATGTAATGAATGTACACAAAACTATGTGTGTATATATATACATATATACGTGGATACACATGGCCCATCCAGCACTAAAACCAGATCTTGGAGTTCCCATGTTAACTGTGCTTCATCTCCATTAATTTCCTTTTATGAAAGTTTCTTTTTGAATGTAGAACAAGGGGACAGTCCCTTCGGAAGAGTCATGTGATGAATCATGAAGAATCCTGTGATCTGTAAAGGACTTTGCTGTCTTAAACTTCACGCTTTGAAGTGCTTTGCCTTAAAAAAAACCCAAAACCACTATGATTTGTAGGTTTGTTTGTGATGGGCCTCTCTGATTTTGGTTTGCCTTGTCTATTTAATAAAGACAATGTTCAGCTCATTTTCACTTCTCTCTCTTCTCATGCTAACTACTTCAATCAGTTAAAAAGCGTTCTTCAGGTAAGAAAAACGTGGCATACTGTAAAAATGCAAATTTCATACTTCATGAAAGCTTAGAAAACAAAATGTTATTATATAGATTTAAGAGCTATGACAAAGGGATGTTTGTAGTGCTTATTTATCATTCTAGCACATTAGCAATAATGAGGAGATGAGCATGCATTGCTTTGAAGATGCCACTGTTTCCCAAGAAGGGTTTACACTTAATTTAATTCCATTTGGTTCAACACGTGCATCTATTTTAACATTCTAGGAGGGAACAAATGCAATACAGTGGTGAGACCATCAGGCAATCAGTCAGACCACTGCTCTCCTGTCATCTCCACAATGAACCGCAGTCCTCGCATATACTTTAAACACTGTGTTTATAATAAACTTGGCAAACATTATCCTGACTTCATGAAGTGGACAACTGAGAGCTTAAAGGTGTGGTCCGATGTTAGAATTTCTCTCGTCAACACAGGCACTCAAGATAGACACCCTTCCTTATGCTCCATCTTCATCATCCCCTCACTTCTGCTGCTGTTAACTGTTGTTGGTGTTGCATTCTAAACCAGATACAAGTAAAAAACAAAACAAAAAAACCCAAACCAACACACACTCCCAAGGCCCAGATTACAACAATCTGATGGGGGAAGACAGCGAAAGGGACAGCAGGGGTATATGCTTCACAACCATGGGAATAAGAAAGCAGATAAGGAAGAGGCAAAAAAAAAAACCCAAAACACAGCCTTATTGAACATAGTTCTAAAAGAACACTCCCAAGTCAATGGCCCAGGTGGACGCACTTCTTTGTGCTGTAGCTACCAAACCACACTTCCTTGCAGATGACAAAATGGCTGAATTTTTGGAAGTGTTTAGCTCTTATTTTGGTACCTCACCACAGTGCTTCTGTTTTGAAAATCTGGCCCCTCTAGCAAGTTGCCCCAACATATATTGCACCATACAACTAACCCACAGTTCTTTTAGCTACAAGTACACTTAACGGTTATTCTTGCTCTGCCTCTGATTTCTGAAACTGCAGAAACATACTTTCAAGGCACTGATAACTGAGACTCAAGTGTCATCTTAAAATCGTAATGTCCAGTTACTAAATTTGAAGAAAATCCCTGCACACTTGGGGCTTGGCAGAAGCCGGCCCACATAATGGGACAGCTCTTCCCAGACAAGGCTCTGCTGATTCCAGTAACTCTATGGGTGGCTACCAGGGCCACTGGCCTGAGGAAATGGGAGGCACCTGCTCTCCCCAGCCCCATCCCTAACTCCAAGCAGACATGTAGACACACGCTGGCATCTGTAAGGACAGCTGCAGCATCAACAGGCAGTGAATTGTAGCACCTTAGACTTGGAAGAAAAATTAGTATCTCCGTTCAAAAGGCCTTGTCAAATAAACCCAACAATCCTAACTTTCCCAAACAAAGAAATATATTGTCCTGACCAAATACTAAAATTTGTTTTTGATAGCAGACATAAATCAGTTTTCTCACCCTGTAGCATTCTGCACCATGTTTAAATTGTATTAGTGTCATATTTTGTAGTCAAAATCATATTGCCGAGCTGCCTGCTGGCAACTGTCATTACTCTAGTGCATGACATTTGTGACACCAAAGTCCAATATGAGGCTGCACGCTAATTTTCAAACTGCTTGAATGCTGATTTAACAACAGAATCTAAAGGTTAGTATTTACGCCTTGACTTCTTCACATTACCCGATAATAAATGACAAACTGTTTTCATGAAAACCACTGTCTCAACGACTACTGAGGACACAGATTATGAGAAATCTGTAAGATGTTTTTTAGAAAGTTGCACTCAACTAAATAACAACAAAACTGCAATGTCAGATCCTTTTAACAAAGCTATCAAGTCAATCCAGGCTTTCAAACACCATCCAATAAATAACATCATGCTGTAGATCAATATTCTATCACTCTTTCCCTCTGAGCTTCCACTTAAGATGTTTGCTGTCTTTCCCCTCAGTTCTAAATTTTTAGGGAATTTACCATCTTTTAATTTTCTGACTAGAGTTTAACAGTGTTATGATGCCAGAAATTATGATAGTAAAAGCTTTCTTTATCTGCAATTCCTTTCAAATCAGAGTATCGCATCTTTTAAAAGCAGTAGTCCGTTTTAAAATGCCTCTGCAGTATGTTCTACCTCTACTTCTGGGAATGCTTCTGTAATCTGAGGCAGACGGATGACCCAAAAACGTATTGAAGTACTACAACACCATTACCAAGTGCTCAGACAGGAAGAACCCAGTGGAATATGTCTGCAGTCCAGCTACCCTCTGCAAGGTGCATGGGAGAGAAAAGTGCCCCTGGAGGACCTGAAACAACAGGTCCAGTTACCAAGAAAATGCCTACTGTGAGCTACTCGCTTAAGATCTACCTGCCAGGAAGATCATGTGAATTTATTGCTTAGTCTTTTTAAATAGCCATGCTAGCACCCTCCTTTACATCTATGATGCTGTTGTAAGAGGAATTGCCTAGGACACATTGTCCAGAAATTGTCCATGCCAGGTTTCCTCCGCAGTCCCAGAAGGTATGGCCCTGCTGCCCTACAGAGCATCCGAGCTCCTGAACTGGGAGCAGTTCTGCACATAAACAATGTCTGGCATCTAAATTCTGTTGAGACTGTACCATGCCTATGCCATTTGTTCCCCCTCTTGAAGATTGTCCTTGATGAGGTCTCAAAGACACACACTAAATTTGCAGCAGACAGGAAAACAGATTGCACCAGCAGATTTCTCGATCTTCTGTGCTGAGCACAACATTCCCTTGCGTCATATTATCTTGTCTTATGTGATACGCTAACCACCCTGCTGTCGCAAATACAATGAACAGCTGTAACAACCTATTCATTTTGGGGGGCAGGGGAACTGTTGGGTTACTCTTCTTGTGCCACACAAATACTAACACCCAAAAGAGGCCTTCCATATTTCAAGACTGCTTGTACTTGACCATCAAATAGCTTCTACGTTATGAATATTCATCAAAAGAGTGATTGGGCCAAAGTGCCCAATGGCCCTCTTGGGATAGGATTTATTAAACAAGCTAGGAGTACAAATCAGTTTTAAGAAAGGAAAGATTCAAGTTCATTTTCCCAAAACTAATGCCTCGCATGCACAAATATATTCGTTACAAGCAGTGCTGGAAAATAAAGAACTTGGAAACGTTCCCTTTGAAATTAAGAATGCAGTTACCCACTTTGTATGGGCATCTGAGAAACCTGGAAAAGCAAAGAATGTAGAACCAGTAGAAGCTGAATTAAAACCAGGAGTCTGGCCAGTAAGAAAGAAACAATATCCTGTTAGTATGGAAGCCAGGAAAGGTTTACAGTCAATAGTGAATAATTTTCTTAAATACAGACTTCCACAAAAGTGAATACAATACTCTAACCATGACTGTTCGCAAGTCATTGGACAGGTGTACGCCAGCAGATCAGACCTGAGAGACGCTCCCCTCCAAACTCCAGATGAAGGACTGTATACTGATGGATGCAGCTATGTTGTGAAGGGGATAAGAAAAGCTGGCTATGCTGTGGTGACACTAACTTAAGATCAAGAAGTTAAAGCATTGCCTCCAAACACCTCTGCACAAAAGGCTGAAATAAGTGATGTATCTGCTACTGGTAGGCCTATGAAGTATGGAAAAGAAATTTTACACTCGCTGGAAGCAGTAGGTAAGTCGCCGTGACACGTTGTAAAGCACATCAGAAAGACAATTTGGATGTAATCCGAGAAAATCAGAGGGCAAATGAAGCTGCAAAACGAGTGGCACTTAGTACTATTTGTGTTCTAATTCCATCAAGGGAAATGCAAGTGGGGCCCCTGAAGTATACAGAAAAGGAAGATAAATTGGCTGAGTTACTAAAATGCAGAGTATACTACATAAGAATCACGGTAAATTTACAGGGTCACATCTGATTCCATTCAGACTTCAACCACATCTGTCCTTCCACTTTGCAAGCATTACACAAGCTCACAGTATTGTAAAAATCTGTATTAGCAGTATTTCATACTTCATGTCGTTCCAGTTCACGGCTCCTTCTAATACCGAAACCATTTTCAAGGCGCTGTGATTTCAATCATCCCTCAGTAACGAGGTGGCACTCTGCCACCGCAGCGTCCCAGGGCCACGGTGTCAGAGGGGCTGAGGTGTCCTCGGGCACGTCCCTGAACGGTTCCCTCCTCGGGAAACGCACCTCGCCGCCGCCGGGAGCGGCTGCCGAGCTCTCACGGCCTGCTCTAAGGCAGTTCCGTGAAAGGCCGAGAGCGGGACAGCTCTTCGAAAAACACACGTACACACACTTATATTGCGGTTTTCCAGCTTGCGGTATTTTACCTTATTTTTAGGATTTTCACCTAGCCCGCCCCCCCTTCCCCAGCCGTGCCGCAACACGTTTCCAACCTGGATCGCCGCGCTCCGTCTTTCCCAGCGCTTATCTCTGGGGAAGCCAGCGGCCGCTTCGCTTGCTCAAGCC